TCCACCCCCTGAAAAGGATTACCCTGAATCTGTTCACACCTCAGTCTTCAGTGTCTTCCAGTCCTTTCCCAGTGGTTAAGTGTCCACAGGTCATTTCCTGGCTCTTAAGGTGCTTACAGTCTCCCAGACCCACCTGCACCCATTGAAGTATTGGAGATGCTTGAACACACTAGAAAAGATCCTTAGACACAAACTCACAAGCAGAGGAAGAGACCCCATGAGCTACTACAGAAAGAAAGAATCAGAAGAAGGCAATATAAAAACACAGCTAAAACAAAGGCACCAGTATGACACCACCAGAGTCTAGAAACTCTACACCAGCAAGACCTGAACATAGCAATACTGATGAAACAGAAAAGAATGACCTTTAAAATAACCTCCTGAAAGTGATAGAGACACTCAAAGAGGATATGAGAAAGTCCCTTAAAGAAATAGAAGAGAACACAAACCAAAAAAAGCAAGACATCAACAAATCTCTTAAGGAAAGCCAGCAACAAAAAAAAAAGCAATCAAACAGATGAAGGAAACAATTCAAACAGTTAAAGACATGAAAACTGAAATGGAAACAATAAGGAAAACTCATTCTGGGAATTGAAAGGCTGAAAAAACAATCAGGAACTACAGAGCAAGCATAACTAACAGAATACAAGAGATGGAAGACAGAATCTTGTGCTCTGAAGATAAACTAGAGTAAATAGACTCATCGACAAAAGAAAGTCTTAAATCCAACAAATCCTTAACACAAACTATAGAGGAAATATGGGACACCATGAAAAGACCAAATCTAAGAATAATAGGAATAGAAGAAGGTGAAGAAGCCCAGCTCAATGGTACAGAAAACATATTCCACAAAATCATAGAAGAAAATTTTCCCAACCTGAAGAAGGAGATGCCTAAGTAACTACAAGAAGCTTACCAAACACCAAATAGACTGGACCAAAAATAAGTTCCCTCACCACATAATAATCTAAACACCAAATATACAGAATAAAGGATGAAAATTAAATGCAGCAAAGGAAAAATGCCAAGTAACATATAAAGGCAAAACTATCAGAATTACACCCGAGATAACCCAGTCACAAAAAGACAAACATGGAATATACTCACTGATATATGGGTTTTAGATGTGGAGGAGGGCATTACCAGCCCACAATCCCACTGCCAGTGAGCCTGGGGTTAGGGAGGACCCTAAGAGAGATATGCATGAATACACGGAGATGGGTCATGGGATGCAATCCCAATTAGATTGGGGAGGGGGAGAAGTGGAGAGCAGAAGACGATGGGAGAAAGAGAGGGAGAGAAGAGGAGGAGAGAGGATGATACTCTGGTGCAGGAAGGTTGAGGAGAAATGGATGGGAGATACCATAAAAGAGGAAGCCATTATAAGTTGGAGGAGAGATCTGGCCCTAATGAGATCTTCCCAGATCTACCGAATGATACCAATTGGTATTAAGGCTAACTTAAATGCCCTCCCATGGTGGTGAGAATGATGACTGCCTTATATCCCATCCTGGAACTCTCATCCAGTGGCTGATGGAGACTGAGGCAGACCCTCACAACTGTGAACCAATTTGAACACTTGGAACCCACTTGCAAAGAGGTGTGATGACCAAGGGAATTGGGATCAGGCTTGCGAGGCCCACAGGCACAGCCTACCTAAACAAGAGGCATCACATGGACCCCAGACTGATGATTGTGGGGCCAGCATGGATTGTGATCCAGACATTCTCCCAGTGAAACTGGGTGACAGAGAAGAGGCCCTGGCAATCTGTGAGACCTTGGAGAGTGGAGCAGTATTTATTGCTGACATACACAGAGACTCAGAGAGCTCATTCCACGTGGAGTGATGCTTTCTCAGCCTGGACACATGGGGAAGAACCTGGACCATTTCTGGGATGATGTGACTATAGAAATCCATCATGGAGGCCCTTGCCCAACCTGGGGAGTGGATGGGGGATGGAGTGGGGGTGAGGGGTTGGGAGGATTGGGGTTGTGGGGGAGTAGTGGAGGGAGAGGGAACTGAAAGTGAAATGTGTAAAAAGTTAAATAAAAATATGGGGAAAAAGAAATAAATAACATAACTCCTATGAAAAAAAGAAACTCAACCACCAGTAACCATTCAAATTACTTGAGTCATGTACCCAATAGTCCATTTCATTAACAGGAAAAGAATTTGGGTATGGAGCACAGCTTCTACATTCAAATCATAATAGGACAGATAATTTATTTTCTATAATGTAGTGGGAAACATGGTAGGAAAACAACTGCTTGAGTCACCATTATGAAATAGTAACTGATTGTGACAGGACAACTGATTTTTAAGTTCCCAGCATGTATTGATCCAAGTCATGAGAGTGAATGAGGGACAGATTTGGGTCTACAGTTTGAGATGGTTAGTTTGAATCATTGAATACAGAATTTCCAACAAGGAAATTGTCTTATGTACATATATTCAATAATGCTTGTTATGGTTATATTCATCAGCTGTTACTGTATATGTCATGCCACAGATTTTAGCAGGTATCATTGCATATAGTGACATGGTAAAGTAATACCTTATTCAAGATGTTGCTTCTACGAGGGAGTTGTTTTCTCCTTTTTAAACAATGTATAGTCCTGTGGTTTTTAAATTATCTTTATCTTTTCTAAAACAATTATTTGTTTCACTTTTAAAATTTGATTTTCTTTAAACATATCATTGTTCTGATCTCTTTTTTATTCCTCTTTCCTATTGTTCCCAGGTCATTATGAATATGTTTCCATTTATATCAAGTGCTGATGAGTATTCTGTCTCCTGATGTGTAGGATTCCCTCACACTATGAAGCTAAAAACTGCTTTGAACATCTAAGCATGCTTTTACTGCCCAGTGCTGGAAAGCATGTCATGCAAATGCCTCAAGACTAGTCCTTAACTGGTCACTAAGAAGGAAAAATCGGCCAGTAAATGAATGTCTTCCAACTACTCTAGATTTTATTGCAAACTTACAAATGAAGAGGGACCCATGTAAGAACTGAGTTAATTGACTAACTTTAAAGCAGTTGAAGATCCAGCACAGAAAGGGATGGGCAACGAGGAGCAGGAAAACTTTCCTCTTTTGACTGTAGCTCACATTAGAAATAAATAATGAAGTAATCAAATTTATATTATTAAATGTTTACAATGGCCATTTCTTGCATTCACAGAACAGGGGATCAAGAATCTGGATGAAGAACTGAACTTATCATGTGACCACATTAGAGCAGTTACAGTAGTTTGACCAAAATGGAATTGGAAAATGTGATGTGACAATGCCTGTAAAGAAAACAAACAAATAAACAAACAAACACAAACCCTTTTCTTTTACAGATTTGAAATGTACAACCTGAGAGAAAATGTATGACTACCACTTGGTGTGCTGCAGTAGGAATTCATAGGCTTTGGGGCTTATGGCCCCAAACTTTTTCAAATAATTATGGTGGATTAAATAATATCATTTCTTTCCTGTCTTTACTGCCTCTAATCCCTTCCATAGACACTTTATTGTGTCTTAATTCATAGCCTTTTTAAACAGCAGTTAATGTGTTAATGCTGCTTATGTTTGACTGTAGGACTTCTGATATATTAGGGAAAGGTTGACTATAATGGAATAAAGCACAAGGGACACCTTATCTTAGAAGAGGAACAGCAACTGCTGTCAAGGACTTGGTAAGATTCTATTAAGACACAAATTTCCCAGAATAAAATGCTGTCTGCCCCTAGGATGGAAGCACAGAGCTGAAAGACCTGTGTTGCCTTAGTCATCTGATCTCTGCACATACACTGGGGGACATGCTAATGCTTTAAGCCCAACTTGGTAATACTAGCTGTTATTGAACTCTGGGCAAGCCTAGCAATCAAGAACACCAGAGGTGGTAGAAAGCTGAGCCAGGCAATGGTGGCTCCTTTAATCCCAGAACTTGGAAGGTAAAGGCATGTGGATCTCGGTGAGTTCAAGCCTAGGCTGGTCTATAAAGTGCATTCTAGGACAGCCGGGACTGTTCACAGAGAAAACCCCTCTTGAGAAAGAAAAAGAATGTTAGCTGAGCATTAAATAGAGAAAGCAAAAGAGAAAGCCCAGAGACCATGTTTCCATGAGGTTTCGCCTCCAGTTATTCGCTTGAGCTTGTATCCTAAGCTCCCACAGTGATGGGCTGTGGACTGGGTGTGTCAGCCAAGTAAGCCTTTCCATTACCTGAATTGCTTTCCCTAGAGAATTTAATCACAGTGATGGGGAATCATGTTACTATACAAAAAAATGGTATTGTAAATGTGTTTCTATTGCTGCAAAGGACGTGGGAATATTGTCCTTTGTAATAATGTCGAAGATACCAGAACTTTAGATGGCAAAAGCCCTAGGAAGCTTTGAACACAGCTCAGTTCTTTATTCCTGTACAGCCTGGAATACAGGATGGTCAATGGTAAGGCATACAGATGAGGTCAAGGTCATAGGATCTCATTGATAGTCTCCAAAAAAAATCAGGTGGGAGTCATTTATGTAATATATTGGTCAAAAATTTTCTTATGCTTCACATATCCTGCAAAACTAAATTAGGTCAAATTAAACAGGAATGGCCTGATTTATTGGTCAAAATATTAATTCTATTTTATTGTTATTACAAATGAATCATTCAGGCATATAATAAGAAAGAGCAATAATTTGGTTAAAAAGAATTTCAAACTCTGTGATGAAAGACAGCTCTATGTAACTTCAGATGGCAGCCAAGTACCGAAACAGAGGCAGGGAATTTAGTATTATCAGCATTTAAAAGAAAGCCTTTGCTCTACACTGGAACCATAGCAATGTACTCTATTCATGTAACACTCTATCCTACACTTCCTCTGTTCTTGGAAGGAGTAGGCAAAGTGATTCCTATTTGCCGGAAGCGGCTCCATACAGATCCTGCTGCAACTGTTTTCAAAGCTTGGCTTTGTATATTCTCAGTACTTTTTCTGAAGAATTAGTTTTATTTTCATTTTTTTGTAAATGTTAGATTTTTTGTGGCTGATATATTCCAAGGAAGTGTGATAACATCCTAATTGACAATAGCACAAATTACAACACACAAATAAGTAAACACTCTGTGGGAGCTTTCTGGTATAGCTGTTTTTCACTATATGGAAAAACCAAGTTTATTCCATGAATGATAAAAAATCTTCAGGAGACATGACAGGGGTTAAAGACATGCCCATTGTTTTGACCAAAAGCAGAGATGTGTGACTGAGTCCATGGGAAATCATTTGTGGCCTGACAAGATAAGAAAGAATAAAGGTCCTCTCTGTATATCTACAGACTTGTAAGAAAAAGTAAGCCTAGAAGTTTTGCATCACTGCATTTCAGTCTAAAGAATGAAATGTAAACAGATGCCTAATACCCTCTAGAGTAGAAGTCACTGTATTATTAAGAGAAGACCATTCTTCCCTCAAACCTAATGCTTTTACTGCATGGCTTCATACTCATGACACTGCTTAGGGTGTTGTTAAAACTAATGTAGGAAATGGGATACAATGGAAGCACCTATGTGACTTTAATATTCCCCTGCATGTCACCTCTCACTCTAATTGCCCATGTACCACAAATTCAGGCATCTCCGCCATAGTCCGGCCCTAGCACTATCCAGGACACATTGTAGAAATAACACCTCTTAAGATATGAAGCATGTTCTGAGAAACAGCCTCACAGCTTATCCATCAGTTAAAGACTAACCCTGGTGATCATTACCAAGTCACTCAGGTGATAGGCTTAACCAATGTAGGATAGATTTTGAAAGATAGAATTTGAACCTGTATTTATATCACCAGGATGGCCTACACTCTCACTGACCTTTCTGCCCTGCTAGCTTCCTCTTGGCTGCAGTCAACACCCCACTATCTCCCCTCATCACTTTCCAACTATGGACCTATATAAACCCCTTTGGAATGAATAAATTTTGTTGTCTTGATAAGTATAGTCTTGCCATCCATGCTTTGAGCTGCTTGTCACCCATTTTCTCCTAGGTGTCCCTGGTCTTACATTGACTGTCCCCACCAGATGGGCCAACAAAAAGTGAACAGCATCTCTTTTCTCATGTATTCTGCCAGCAGGATGTTTTGCCCAATTGCATTGGGCCAAGTACACTTAACCATATTTAAGCCTTCTGATACATTGAATCAAAATATATTTTCTCTGTTCAATTATTCTATTAACATTTTTACATTGGGAAGAAATCAAATATATTGTGCTTCAATATCATGACAGTAGCTGGAAGAATATATGGAAAACACTCCATTGCAATAAGTCCAAGGGGAAATGAATTTTGACAAATAAGAAAATCAAAGCTGTACCACTCATTACTATGCAAATTTTAATTTTAATAATGCTGGTGAGACAAGTTGACAAGTTGCAGTCTTAAGTGAGCTGTAACAAGATTTAAGGAGTAGGGACAGACTAAGTTACAAGATGAAGTAGTGTATCCTAGCTGTGATGAAGAAGGGTTTTGGTGGTGATGTAAGAATGGATACATGTCAGTGAACTTTGATAAATATAGGACATTGGGACAGGCTTCTGAGATCAATCTATTCTCCTGGAAATGCTATAGAATTTAATATCGAAACAATGGTGTCAGTTCTCTAAATTAATATTCTAACTTATTCTAGAATTTCTAATAAACTGCCATGTTTGACTTATTTTACCATAATGTACTTATTATTCAAATCTCCTGTATAATTAGAATATTTTTAAACTAAGCTTTCTAATATATAGAAATATGCAAAAATATGTGAGAATAAAGATTGATTCATTAATAAATGAAACAAATAAATATAAAACATTACATTGCTTCATTATCTCTGTCAACTGGATTGCACCTAAATCAACTTGAAGTCTTCTATATTATTAAGAAAACCATGAACTAAACTGTATAATCAAATTTTCATCTAGAATGTACTTTGTTCCTGACATGATGAAGCACATTCCTATGTGGCCTGAACAAAATAATATAGCACTTGGGGACAAAGATGCAACCTAGGAGGCCTGCGCTAGAAACCAAGATAGAGTAGGCTTCCATGGCAACCACATATTTCCCCTTGGTGCTGTGGTAGACAGGAAGGAAGGTGACCCACACACTGAAGAAAATCAACATGCTGAAGGACATGAACTTGGCTTCATTGAATGTGTCGGGCAGGTTCCTGGACAGGTAAGCCATAGTGTAGCTCCCAAGTGCCATGGAGCAGAGGTAACCCAGCACAGAATGGAAGGCAATAGTGGAGCCCTTGTTGCATATAATAATTATGTGTCCATGTTTTGAGTAAGCATCTGAGTCAACAAAGGGAGGAGATTTGCTCAGCCAAAATCCACAGAGGACAAGTTGGATGAGGGTGCAGATGGGAATGATGAAGTTAGGAAACCTTGATATCATTATCCACCGTATCAGTCTCCCTGGAACTGTGATCCTGAAAGCCAGAACCACAGTAACACTTTTGGCCAAGACTGTGGAGAGAGCTACCGTGAACAGAACTGCAAATGTGCTCTGCTGCAGGATACAGGTGCCTGTGTTGGGGTGGCCAATGTAGAGCAAGGGACAGAGGAAACAGAAAGTCAGAGTGATGAGTAGGATGTAAGTGAGAGCCTGATTGTTTGCCTTGACTATGGGAGTGTGGTGGTACTTCACAAACACAACAAGAACACCAGCTGTGAGTGCAGAGAAGCTCAGGGCCAAGGAGGTCAGTGCCATCCCCAAAGGGTCTTCATAGGCCAGAAAGGTCACTGTTTTCTGGAGGCAGTGATTCTGCTCAGTGTTTGCATAATGACTTTCTGGACACCTCACACAATGATCCATATCTGCTCAGGAATTAAAGTTATTGTGAGTCTCTGCTCATGTTACCATGGTATACCAAATCACTTACCAGAACCAGGTCTCTGGCATATTCCCACACATCTTTTATTGTTTCAGACTCAAGTAAATCAGTGCTGAATACTGAATACTCCCAAATGCCCTCTAATTAATCATTCCAGGTTTTTTTTTATTTGATATGTACTAAGCAAGTCTACTCTTTTTTTTTTTTTTTTTTTTGGTTTTTCGAGACAGGGTTTCTATGTGTTGTTTTGGAGGCTCTCATGGAACTCACTCTGTAGACCAGGCTGGCCTCTAACTTACAGAGATCTGCCTGACTCTGCCTCCCGAGTGCTGGGATTAAATGCATGTGCCACCAACACCCGGGTGCAAGTCTACTCTTTTTATTAGCTTATTTCAATATATTTTCATCTATATAATGATTTTGTTTATTTATATACTGACAAATTACTGATTTAAATAACATAAATCAAAGATAATCATAGTATCACCTCGATCTGAATTCCCTTGTGTGACTTTGTCCTGTGAGTTCAGTACAAAAATATGTATTTTCAATTGTTTTCATTTAGTGTTTTCAGTCATAGGATTCAAATTTATCTATTCACATAATGTTTATTGACTGAATTCTCCAGGGTGCTGATTCTCTGATACTGCAATTTAGAATGAGAGTTATTAGATTTTTCAAAGCTTGAAAAGCTCACTTTTGTGAAACTGTTTCAGCCTGGACTACCAAGTGAATTCCAGGACAGCCTGCAAAGCCACAGAGAAACCCTGTCTCGAAAAAACCAAAAAAAAAAAAAAAAAACAAGAATCAAAAGAAGAGAGGAGAACATCAGTGGCCAGCCACCAAGCAATACAGCAAGCTGTTGAGTAAGAATTTTAAAAAGGTATATAGAACAGAGAAAGATCAAAACCAAGAGGCATGAGGAAGACATTATCAAACAGGTGGAGACCAAGTTGACACCCAGTGAGCATGACACTTACCTGTCTCATTGGAAATCTCATTGTGTGGACACTGAGTACAATGATAGCAACAAGGAGGCCTCCCCTCCTGGGCAGATTTTCTTTTTCCAGGAAAACAGCTCTCACTGCACACAGAGCGAGGAAGCTGAGAATTAAATACATGGTGAAAATATTCAAGAGTTGGCAGTTTAAAACAATGAAAATGGTGTTTTCCAATACTGAACAATATAATGGCAGATATATACAATTTGCTTCCCTGTTTTGATGCATCATTTCTATTTCAATATATGATATGGTATGAAGTTCAATGTATTTAATCAAATGGTCCTAAGACAAAATAAATATGAACAAGTGTGGAAATGTTAGAGGTAGGGAAACATAAGAAAAATTTAGGTTACTAGGTATATGTCTAAAGGGGCATTTCTAATGTCATGGTGATTCTATTGTGCACCTCCGAGCAGCTGCTGTAAGCAGCTTTGTTTCCCAATGGTGATGCTTAATTTATATTTTTCAGCTTGACTGATTCAGAATTACAAAATAAGCTAGGCTTGCTCACTTTGTGTGAAATATGGTTACATTAAGTACTTGAAGTGAGAAGACATTTATTATAATAGGTAGCAACTTTTTGTTGGCTGTTGTTGTTTACTGAAAGGAAACCAAAAAGGGATGTGAAGAGCAGTATTCACCAATATCTACTACCTTCTGAAAAAATAAATTGACTCAACTTTTCAGACTCTTGCCTACATGATTGCCTGAATCATTATGAACTGCTATCACCAAGTGTGACCAACAGAAGACTATGTTCTTACTTTTGGTCTGCCTGGTTTTTGGATTGGTTAGGTTGGGTTGGGTTAAGTTGGGTTGAGTTCTTTGATAAATTGCTTGCTTTTTCAGCAGGAAGACACATAACTAACCTATGATCATGTGTCCTCTATGCTATTTTACAATTCCAGGTACCTGAAAGCAAAATGTCTATAAACTTACATTTCCTAATCTGGGAGTTAAAATAAAGCTGTTGTCAGGTTGTTTCAGCACATGGATGAAATGGGAATGGAAAGACACTGGATTTATGACTGGAAATAAGAGCTCATAGGAAAAAAGGATTTAAAAATAATCCCATTAATCAGAATAAGGGACAAAATAATACTTCAGATGACAATAGTTTTGTGCAAACAGATGGGTACTGAGTAAGGAACCAAAAGGCATAACTTCCACAAATTAATATTTATTGATTGAGATCAAAGCAATGAGATAAGATCCAACCCACATCTGTAAATCCTGTGGCCCACTGTATCATATGATCAGACAAAAACATCTCTTGGCCTTGTGGAACTTTTGGATAAAATGTTCCAACTTTCATCTTTTGTGTGAGACCAAGTGGAAAATTCCAGAGGTTGACAATATCATATTCTGCATCTAATTTCCTTTCTGCGTCCAGAACCACAGTTTTTCCAGCAGAATTTTTGAAATGCATATTGTTGAGAAAGTGATTAAGCTAAAACAAATGCAAAATCTGATGATGAATTCATTCCCAGAAACATTAAACACAATACAATGAAGCAATGGGTCTCACTATCCGAAATACGTGGCATTGATTTCAAGCTGTATCAATCTTGCAACATTTTAATGAATGAAGAACAAAAATGAACATATCATCATGTTTCTCGACTGACAAGTATATTCAGAAAATAGGATTCACACACACACACACACACAGAGACAGAGAGAGAGAGAGAGAGAGAGAGAGAGAGAGAGGGAGAGAGAGAGAGAGAGAGAGAGAGAGAGAGAGAGAGAGAGAGGGAGAGAGAGAGAGAGAGAGAGAGAGAGAGAGAGAGAGAGAGAGAGAGAGAGAGAGAGAGAGAGAGAGAGAGAAGAAATTCTGTCAAATTTCCAACCTCTTGAACTGCTAGCCACTACTCGCAGTTTCCACTTGTAAATTGGGGTGTTTATATCTAAACTGTAAGAAAATGGTCAGATGGTCAGTTAGGTAACAGAAGCATGAACTCAGAAGTTTACCTTTGAGGATCTAGTAAACTTGAACATTTAGGGTCTAGTTCCACAATTTCTGTTCTGAAATATTCATAGAGAAAATGGGGTTTTAAATTTATTATATTATAAAGAGAAAATTCTGAAGTTAATTGTAACACAAAGTAGATAATGACATATACACATTTAAACCTACTTATTTATATCCATTCATCAGGAACAATGGAATATTTGTCTACAACAAATTCTAGTTAGTAAAATGCATACTGTCTCTCAGGTGCTCTTTGGCAAAATCACTGCAGTGTAAAATAATATGCTGAGTGTCTTTAAAAAAACCTCAGTTTGGGGCTATATACCAGCAAGAACTGAACAACTGAACGCACAATGAAATAGAAAAGAATGACCTTCAAAACAACCTCATGAAAATGAGAGACCCTCAAACAAGATATGAGAAAATCCCTTAAAGAAAGAGAAGAAAAAACAAACCAAGGACATGCAAGAAATCAACAAATCTCTTGAAGAATGCATAGAAAGCCATGAAAAACAAAACAGATGAAGAAAACTATTCAAACAGTTCAAGACCTGAAAACTGAAATAGAGGCAATAAAGAAAACACTAACGGAGGGCTTGCTGGAAATAGAAAAGCTGGGTAAATATCAGTAACTACAGATGCAAGTATAATGAACAGAATACAAGAGATGGAAGACAGAATCTTAGGAACTAAAGAATGATGGGGGAAGTCCTTCTGTGTATATGTTTTATTGGTTGATGAGTAGAGCACTGTTGGCCAATAGGGAAGCAAAATAGGTGGGATCAGAAGTTGAGGAGGATTCTTGAAAATGTAGTCAAGTTTGGGGAGTTGCCAAGTGATGCCCTGGGAAGAGATCAAGGGATACATGTTGGAAAGGAAGAAGAAAACTTTGACTATTTGCAGATGATATGACAGTCTACTTAAGTGACCCAAAGAATTCTACCAGGGAATTCCTGCAACTGATAAAAACCTTCTGCAAAGTGAGAGAATACAGATTAATGAAAAAAATCCAGTAGCCCTACAATATATATAGACAGTAAATGTGCTGAGAGAAATCAGACAAACATCACTCTTTACAATAGCCACAAACAATGTTAAATATCTTTCATACAATAAGGGCATCTATTCAACCATGTTCCTAGCAGATTTGTTTTGTAATAGCCAGAACCTGGAAGCAAACTCGATGCCCCTCATTCTAAGATGGATAGAAACTGTGGTACATTTACAAAATGGAATCTTGAAATTTGCAGGCAAATGGATGAAACTAGGAGAAGCCATCCTGAATGAGGTAACCTGGTCACAAAAGAAATATATTAGTAGGGGAGAAAGGGAAACGGGGGTAGGAAGGTTGTGTTGGAGTAAGAATAGAGGAGAGCAGGATGAAAGTTACCATAATAGAGGGAATCACTGTAGGCTTGAGGAGAGATCTAGTACTAGAGGGATTTCCAGAGATCTACGAAAATTACACTAATTGGCTCACAAGCAATAGTGGAGAAACTACCTTAAATGCCCTTTCTGAAAAAACAAATTGATGACTACTTTATATGCCATCCTAGAGTCTTAATGGATGGAAGCAGAGGCAGACACCCACAGCTGAACACTGTACTGAACTCCTAGAACCCAGTCATAGAGGGGGGAGTGATGAGCAAATGGGTCAGGACCAGGCTGGAGAAACCCACAGAAACAGATTACCTGAACAAGAGGGAGCCTATGGAACCCAGATTGATGGCTGAGAGGCCAGCATGGTACTGATCCAAATCCCCTGAATATGGGTGTCAGTGAGGATACCTTGGCAATCTATGTATTCATCCCTGGTGTATGAATGGATTTTGGGAGCCCATTCCACATGGAGGGATGCTGTCGCAGGCTTTACACATGAGTGAGGGCCTAGGCCCTGCCCTGGATGATATAATAGACTTTGGATATCCTCCATGGATGGCCTCACACACCCTGGGGAGCTCAGGGGGCTTTGTTCTTAGGAGTGGGTGGTTTGGTGGGGTCAGGGGATGGAGAGTGGCTGGGATTGACATGTGAAGCAAACTTGTTTCTAATTTAAATAAAAAATAAAATCTTACTTTTTCACAGTACTATTCTTAAAATATAAAAAGTGAAAATTACCTCCCATGGGTTAGTATATACCTCCCCATTCCCTTGGGGTCTATTTTGCACTAGGTTGATGATCATTTCATGGAGACTGTGAGCCACAGCATATACAGCATTGAATACATTGTAACTCTCTTCACTCATGTCCATTTCCCAGGTGTTTCTAGGCAACATTTCCAAGGAAACATTGGGTAGACAGTTATCAAGAATTTTGCAATCAGGTCCAGAAAAGGAGCAATTGAAGTGTTTATTCCAAGCAAGGGCAAGATAATGGTCATCTGGGTATTTGAAAGGGTTGTATGTCTGAATAAACTTCCTAAAATCAGAAAACTCAACATGATGATGTGCAAAAATGAGACTCCCGTGTAATGAATCCAACATGAAAATAAATTTACCAACACTTAGATCCCATTGTGACTTCATGACCCAGATTATCCAATTTACTAAATAGTAATCTATATATAAGATTAAACCACTTAAATATTCATTGTCAGCATAAATGATAACCACGTTTGCAGTTGATATCATGATCTGGGAATTTGTTACAGAATTAAAAATAAAGGTAGACACATTGTCTGGAATCATTTCTACAAAAGCTATACACACTTGGTTCTTGTCCATCTCTCCTCTCAGATCTGAGAGAATCTCAGCCACATTGTGGTCATCCATGATAACCAGTCCTACCCATGTCCAGTTGAAATGCAGCATCAAAAGGACAATGCCATGTGGCAGAGACGTGTCCTTGTGTGCTGTCTGATAGAGCGAAGAGAACTGGCGTCTGTCACTCAGGATAGTGTCAAATGACCCAAAAGAAACCTGAAGAAAATTTCCAATAGAAACAAAAAGGAAAACATTAAAATAGAACACAATCCTAAACTCAATTCAGCACTTTGGTTTGGTAGATTTTAACTTCTACTCATCGTGCTTTAAACTCCTATGCTGATTTGAAGATATTTATAAATAATACCTCACAAAACACAGCACCTTCTACCCACAAAATATATATCCAAACTCTTCCTACTCTCTATCTCCAGCCAAGTATCTGAGGCTTTATAAACAAATGTCTGATTTATTCTCTTCAATTGATAATTACATATTCTCATTTTTGTACATTTTAATATATACCTGAAATGTCTGCAGTGTAACACAGGTTTCTTGTTTCTCACCTGTGGATATTTGTAGAGACTCAACAGTCTCCCAATATGTGCAGATGCTGTCCATGTTGCTCCTGTAAGTAGAGCAGCAACATTCTTCTGTCTTCTACATGTGTAATTGGGAATCATTATTCCTGTTCCTGTGAGGCAAAGAAAAGGTGCCTCCAAAGTATCCCATTGATTGCTGTTGACATTGTAGAGGTCAAATCCTAGAGATGTGTTGGGTAAAATGTGCATGTTTCTGTTGATTTCCTCAATGGCAAATATGAAGGACAAATAATTCTGGTAGGCAATGATCCTGAAACTTCTGAGAATGATTATCAATATTTATGAATGATACTCATATAACAGTATGATGCAATGGTTCTCATACTTTCTATGTTATTTATTTAAAAACAATAATTTTTAATCACAGTAATGGTTATTATCTGAATGTCATGGTATATAGTAAGTGGAGATTTTAATTACCCCAAAGCCTCAGATGGAGCTAAAATTCTTGGACAGGAAAGTTGACTTGAAGGAATATCACCCATGGAATCTCCTGGTAAGTAGAAGCACATACAAAACCCGATTCTTTGATGCTTAAGTGAAATAACAAGCAGATAGAAACTTGCATCTTGAAAGTCTCCCCTGTTCTGTATTATAACACCCCAAGACCTCCACACCACATTCTCTCTCTCTGTACATAGAGGGAGAGACTGAAGCCTTTGAGTTGTTCTAATTAAGGATACATGAGCTTTATATTGATGTTTTCCTGAGTTACATGCAGCAATCTAAAAGCAACATTAAGATTTGCTCTTAGGAGGGGTTTAAATATCTCCCATCCAAGCACAGCTCTTTTAACAACCTTTCACCTCCCCCATGTCCTTCTCCTTTCTGAGAACCATACAACAAAGAGCACAATGACTGAGTAATTTTCCTATAGATTAACAGTCTATAGTCATAACTACAGTTTTGGGGGTTTTGTGTGCTCAATACTGTATTTTCTCTCATCTGCTTTCCTCATTCTCTATGCCTTCACTATGTATCTACCTACTTAGCAGAGTGGATTACACAACAACCTTGAATGGCTTGATGGTTAATGTGAATATTTTACCCTGCAGGTGAGTTCAACTTGAACAGAAGAGAAAACCTAGTTTATTACACACATATAGTTTATACCATCATCATCTTCTCTAAGTGAGAAAATTTTCCTCTAAGGAAGCCATGAGGGCTCTAGTCAATACTGTCTCCATGAGAAATATTAATTAGCACTCCAGGTTTCTCTCTCTTAAATTGTTGCTAATGTACCCAGTCAGATTCCTTACTGGTAACCCATAAACAACAGAAGAGATTTGCAGAACTAGCAGCATTAATCCCATGTCCTTAAAAACCAGTTGCATAACATATATAAAACTTAAAATGATGATCATGTTACTACTGAATACATATTAGAATGGTTATGTTTAGGCACTGAATTCAATTTACCATACAAATAGGAATTCCTTGCACTCCTAAAGTGTAATTTTTGATCTCTGTACCCTCCTCCATTGGCTGAGCAGGACCTCACTTTTCATAATGACCAGGTAGACAAGAAGACTCATTAACCAACACAGGGTTATCCATATCTGTCCAACTTAACCATTGAGCTAATTGGATGATTGGGAATACAGGCCCAGTAACTATGATCTGTCCCTGTTTTTGACACAGACTCCACCTGTAGCATAGCCACGTACAAGGTTGTAGCATTCCAAAGTTTCTGAGAGACTCAAGTGTGTGCCTCTCTCTATTGTCACAAAGATGCTATGTGCTATGCTGGCCCCAGTTGTGTGGATTGGCTGTCTGCTGCAAAGGCCTTCCCTATCTTTTCTTTCCCTGAGGCATCTCAGCAGCTTAAACATCCAAGAGATTGCTCTTTCTCATGACAGATTTTGTCAGTTCTGATGGTGTTCAGAGTCTTTTATCTCTTGTGGAAACATAGGCATACCCTCGACCCCATCTTAACACATTACCTTTTTTTACACAGGCTGGCATAATTAACCAGTTTTATTAACCATAATCAAAAATACCACAGTAGACTTAGTCACTATAAGTTTGAAGGAAGATCTGCCACCAGTGCGACCTCTAGCGATGTACAAGGATGGCATCAACTGGCAAGCTAAACAATAGTGTAGAGGCTACCTTAAATGCCAATTCCAGTTAATGAACTTGATATTTACCTTATATGCAATCCTAGAGCCTTCATGCTGTGACTGATGGAAGCAGAGGCAAACACACACAGCTAAACACGGAGCTGAACCCATGGAACCCAGTGACAGAATGAGAGAGCAGAAATGACCACATTGGCAAAGAATGGGCTAGCAAAACCAGCAGAGACAGCTGATCTGATCAAGGGGGATCTCTTGGACTCCAGACTGACAGCAGGGAGGCCAGCATGGGACTGATTCAGAAACCCTAAGTGTGAGAGTCAGTGAGGAGGCCTGGACAACCTATGGGGCCCTGGCCAGTAGATCTATATTTATCCCTGGAATACAAATGGACTTCTGTGTCCATAACACCAAGAGGAATGGATGCTCAGTCTGGACTCTTAGGGGAGAGCCTGGACCCTGCCCTGAGTGAAATGACAGACTCTGGATATCCCCTATGTGGAAGGAAGTGGGGATAGTGGGGGATGCTGTGGGGGGTCGGTGGGAGATGCTGGGTGGGGGTCGGTGGGAGGTGTGGGAGGAGGGGAGGGAAAGGGAGCTTGGATTGACATTTGAAGCAAGCTATTTAAAATTTAAATAAAAAATGAAATTAAAAATGAGGTTTTCCAAAATAGAAAAAAAAATTCTAGAGCAGTTGTCCCTGTTTCATTAGTGTTTAAAAGTTTTAAAGTTAGTTGAGCATTACGTAGTTTATCCTTAGTCATCCTCATATCCCCTTCTGTTTAACAAGCATCACCTTTGGACTATGATTACATCTTTAATAAGGCTTTCATATCTTTATTTGCACTTCAGGCCCTATATATTTATTATATTCTACATTCTGTTTTACCTGAGATAAGGATCCAATGTCCAAAATTTGAATAGAGACTTTTTGTATAGGCTGGTTGGAATTTTAAGTGTTGTGAGACATTACAGATACATCAGTTTTGGTGTCTATAAGGACTGAAATCTCAATGTCATTTGTTTCAACATTTAGCTTTGGGCTTTCATCATTAGCAAAAATCTGTCAAAATATTTTTGTTCTACTATTCCTTAAACCTATTTCCTATTGTATAGGAGCAGCTTTCCCAATGAAATATGGGAGTAATAATAATTGAGCAAACAGCTTCTATTGCATAGTACTTTCACGTAAATCATCTATAAAGGCATTAAAACAATTTTATAGAACTTTTAAAAACAATCTCATTTTCAATACTTATACCAGTTTCCTCTTCCTCCAGTCCTCCCACACTCCCCAGTATCTCCTCACTCCACCCCCCACTCATTCCTCAGACAGAGGCAACTTTAGGCAACATTATGGAGTAGTTTTATAAAATTTTAAGAAGAGATCCCAAGTAACTTGTGAATGTAACTTGCTAATTATTAACAGTGTGGAACAAACAATTTACCTATATTTTATTTTGTGGATAAATAAAATTTATACAAAATATATGTAATTAATTATATTTATGAGCTTTTTTCCTTAGTAAACATATTATCTAATAACCTTACAACCTGTTTAATTTCAGGTGTTACGTTTTTATAGAATTTCAAAAAGAATTTTCAAAAAGCAACTTTAAGAGCAGAGCCAAATTCTTAGCAATGATAAACAGACAGTATCATACCCAATAATACAGTTCAAAATCATTAATTTTATTGTCTGGTTCATTCACTATAAAAATTAAATACTTGTTTAAATATCAGTTGCACAATGTAAAGAGGAGGTCACCCTCTATTCATTGAGTGAATTATATATCTGGAAACTCTTGTAGTTGCATTATTAAAATGGCACTTGGCCTTGTCCTGTCAAATATACCTTCAACTAAATATGAAAAATAATGGTCGCACATAATTCCAGAAATTGACTGTAACCTCTCACAAGGGATAATACCATTTATTCACAAAATGTCTTTAAAATATACCTGATAAGAAATTTAGCAATTCTGCTAATATGTATAAACTAGCATTAATCTGAAAGGGTACATTTTTCATATATACTGTATTACAATAAAAAATACTCATAAATGTGTAATAAAATATATTTGTGTATATATATATAAAAGTACATATATAAATGCTTACTTATCTTTTAAATTGTGATTCACAAACATAAAATATACTTAGAGATTAAAAAAAATTATCGTAATGAATATATTCCTGGCCACACATTTCATGTCCTTTTTTATGATTTTCAGAAAGAACATGTATAAGAGGGCAAAATACAAAATAAACCCATTTTTCACATATGGACACATAGGCACCTTACTGTAAATGAAATTCTGTCACCATATTTTCTGTGTCTATTAGAGACTAAGTGTCAAAACATAATTAATCTGTCAATTTTTCATCTCTGATCATATGTCCTAATCTACAACCCCTGTGTTGTGTACTTATCACCTCACTAATGTTTCAGCACAAAGACAAACATACCACAAGGACCTAAATTTATCCTCACTTGTACTTGTCTATGTGCCTTTCTTCTGTATTTCCTTTTTCCAGACTTCTGTTAGAATTCAGTATAAACTATTTTTCTCAATCTCAGGTCTGATGGATCTTGCAGCTACAGTAATTTTGCATCTAATAAAAGAGATCTTACTTTCTTCATAATAAAGTCTGTGTAGGTATTTCTTGACAGATGAGTATGAGACATTTTACTAATTTAACTGCCACTGTCCTCTACTATAAATGGAACAAAACTAGGACACTACTGTGAGAGTTCACAATCAGCATCTATGTGAGCTCCAGAAAATGTCCATACCCAGTTTCAATAATTAGAAAAACATAAATGAAGTGGAACAAATGGTGCAAAATTGAAAGAATCTAAAAGGTTGTTAGTGAAAATCATAGCAAAAATGTTGTAAATCATTTTGAAGCATTTTAAGTAGAAGATCTCCCAACTCCAGAGTCTCACATTCTGACTTGCTAATTAATCATCAGCAGATAGCACAGCCATTCCCTGTCACTCTGCAATCATCACATAGGGACTCTGTAGTAACTATCATCACTGGCATCATTTCTTCTGAATGAAGAATAACTGCACTTTGAAAATGGCTCAAAACAACAATTCAAATCGGAAGATATTCCATCTGCAGAGAAAAGTGTGTGAATATCCCAACTCTAGACAGCTGAACGAGCTGCAAAGAATGCAGAGAGATTGAGAATATCAAATGTGTAAACTAACATCGATTAAAAACAATGTTTTTCTTTGAGAGGAGAGAAAATGGAACAGGACGACATACATGAGACAGAGCTTTGTGAGTACATGAGAGGGGATGCCAGTGTGGGAAAAAAATTAAATTTATGTCAATCCTAACATACTTAAGGTCAATGAAATTTGAGTAATGAAGAGGAATAAAATTTGAAACCACTTACCTGTTATAAGTATTTCTGTCACCTGTAAAATTAATTGGG